ACATACATATCTTTTCAAGCATTCTGATAAAAAATAACGATAGCTGTCGGTTCGCTGCCATATCATTTAGTATCCAACCAATTTCGGTCTTTCGAACCCCACTCTGGAAGGCGTGATACCTACTCTAGCTAACTGCTCTGTACATTTCTTCACGCATCGCTTCCACGTCATCTGTTGATCTCCACGTGACTTCTTCCAACCTGGAGCGGCTCCAGTGAATAAAGAGCAGTGCAGTAGACGACAGCTAGGCATACGCAATACGTATCGTAACCAGTAAAGCCCGCTGAACTGAATTCGATGCCCTAGCAAATTTATCCCAGAGAAGCTGCCAAACACGACGGTTTACCCCCAGATTTCTATCCGTTCGCTCCATCCCATGTGGACCAAACTACGAAAGTATCGATAGTCGAAAAGTTCTAGTCGACAGATATCTACCCACCAATTCAAGGTTTTACAACAATAAAGCAGAATTGAACGGACGGTAGTACAATATACATACATGACCTTTCAACTTCAGTGAAACGTCGCGTATACGCTAACGGTGTTTCAGTCCTGCGTACGTTACTTTAGCCTTGGAAATGCGGCTGATCATATAGTTTGGTGCACCACCATCATTGATCATACAACTAACTTAACGGTTAAAGCAATCCGCTATAACTAATACCTGGCCATGTAGTTTCAAAGCGGAGATGGCGACAACCAGTCTCGCAGCGTCGCTTTGCACTTTGAAGGTGAAAAGCACATACCGAATGCGGTAACAGTATTTGTTAGTATATCAAGTGCGCTTGGGAGTCCTCCATGAATTCGAACAGACAGACGGTATCATCAGCGTGCTAGAAATCGCACTGCTTTTTCTCCAGCTTCCTATTCAACGTCTACATTTCGGAGATCACCTAATGCGTTCCCCAGTATTTCGTTTGTGGCGAAATAGGGCACTTTCGACGAACATCGCTGCCGGTCGATTTATTTAGTTCGATTCAGACCCACATTCGACCAGAAGTGTGTGCGTACAGTGTCCTCAGTAAATTAACAAACTTCTTTCGCGAAGAAGCGAACCGATTGGAACTTCGTGGTTAACTGAGTAGAAGGTTCCTTTTAGGTCAAAACTCAGATTGTTGGTCGAGGATGGGTGTAATGCAGCGATCAGCGAAGTTCGCTACACCGTATTTCACAACGTAAAATTTGGTCAATAAGCCAACCACCAGGTCAGAATCCGACTTATCGTTCACGGATGTTAGACTCTCTTGATGAAGTCAGACGTTGGAAGTTGATACTGAACAGGAATAGATAGTGGTCTGAGTAAAATCGAAGTCGATTGTCGATATCTGTTCACTGGCGGAACAGAGTACAACGATCTCCTAGGCAAGCATACGATGTGCTCTGTTTTCCAGTCTGCGCGTTATAATCATCTGCAAGCACAACTATAACAGAGCCACGGATCAACCGAATGAGTACGGTGAATTTATAGTACAAATCGTCCTTTTGTGTATCAGAACTGGAGTTGGTCAGTTGATGATAGAAAAACATTTACATAAAAGAGCAGAATGAAGATTGGAATGTTGAGAGCAAATCCAAACGGAAGGTAAATTATTCATATAGAGTAATGTTGTAAGAATAACGGGCAAGTGCATGAGCACCACTGTTTGCGACACCCAGCCATTTTTTATTACACGTTCGTGTGATGAACGGCAGACGGGGTAAACGCCATAGTCACGAGGACCTGCCGTTCAGTGATGGAAACCGGTAACTTAAGTACTTCAGCGAACAGTTCAGCTGGCCAGGCGCTAACCAAACTGTCTCGTCTGTTATAGCTGAGGCCCCAAGGGCAGTGTCATCCGAACCTCCTACTGAAGTAGAAGTACGACGTTGCATCCAAGCCTTGAAGAAAGAACAAGCAGCCCAACCGGACGGGTTTCTTTTCACTCGTTTCAAGATGAGGAACGATGGTCTCGTAGGCTGTATTACGCATTTAATGCGTAAAATCCGACCACGAGCGCATTCCGTCAACCTGGAGCGATTCATTGATCGCTCCAATCTTTAACAAGGGACCTCGCAACGATTGTGAAAACCACCGTGGAATAAGTTTGATCCAATGGTCACAAAGTTACTAGCCTCCATCATACTTCGACGTCCGACACCGTTCAGGGAGACAAACATCCGTGAACAACAAGCAGGATGTCGACCGGATAGCAGTTGTATCGATCAAATCTTCACCCTGCGTTAAGTCCTCGAGCTACGCCATACGTGTTGTCGACCAACGGTTGTTGTGTTCTTTGACCTGAAAGGAGCCTTCGGCTCAGTTGGTCGTTAATCCCGTATGGGTTCGCTATTCGCAAAGGAATGCCGCAGAAGTACGTGAAAATACTGAGTTCAATCTACTCGCATACTTCTGGTAGCGTAAGTCGCGTATACTATGCCACTTCCGATCAGTTCTGCTTTACGGTTGAAGATTTGAACTTGCGGGTAGAAGACATCCGTCACCTAGTGGTTTTCGACAATCGATGCTTACGTAGCCTGGCCCAAATGGGATGGAGTGAGCGGGTTAGTAACCTAGAATTAAGTCGTCGGGTATTTGGGAATGCACCGAACACGAACTCGCTAGTGCATCGAAGCCAGCTCAATAGGCTTTGTTGGTCAGGACACGTTTTGAGTGTGTCCGACGGTCGCCTACCGCAGCACGCCTTATTCACAGTGGCTGTTGCAGGTTGGAAAAAGCCGAATGGAGGACAGCAGATTACGTGGAGACGATGCATGAGAAAATGCACCGAGGGATTAGGCAAAGTATTCGGGGTTGGTGACCAAGAGACTCCGAAACCGCATAGTTGGAGACACTGAAGGTCATGGCTGCGAACCGACAGCGACCATGTTGTCACTTCTTATCAGACCAGAATGCTTGAAACAGTATGTATGCACAGCTGGACTGTGTACTGTGTGTCGACCACAGAGGTTCGCTTTCTTTTCCCGTCCTTAAAATTACGTCCAATCCCTATCCTCCTTGCACATTCTTACTTAGTTTGGTATGGAGTTTACGTATCAAAAATATTCATCGACTGCAAGTCTTCCAACATCCGTTTTTACGTGGTTGGGCGCAGGTAGGATGAAGCGGGCAGGCTGGCGAGACAAGTAAAATGCATTATCACATCGAATTCAGTTGTGTGGGCTACGCTGCACACATATCTAGCTCGAACGTAACGCACCGAGCCCCACTTGCAGTTGTTTATCACCATGCATTATGCAGAGTTTTAGGTAATCGCGGTCGCTCACTGGGACAAGTAGTTGACCTCCACAGACTACGCTGGTTGGCACATGTAATAGGCATGTCACAAAATAGATTGCCATGACGCGCGATGTTTACCGCGGCAGGTAGTGGGTGGAAAAAAGGTCCAGCTAAAAACTGACATGAGGATACGAAAACCCTAACCAGGACACCAGATCACATACATCCCGTTAGGATGGAGACACCGAGATCGCGGCGACCGGTGATTAGAGGCATTAAGATATATGACTGGGTGTCGCAAATAGTGGGTTGCACACTACTGTGCGATGAACAACAATGGGGGTGAAAATTGTAATCACGGGGGCCCACTACTCATTAATGGGAGTCTATCCGGGGGACGTGTAGTAATATTATTTTCACTCATCAACCTCTTTCCCCTGATTCATGTAAAAGCCCTATTTTGTTTTTTTGTCCTCTGTTTCGAGATCCCCTATAACCTCGAACATGGCACAATTCCCGGTGATTCGTATCGTGCGCTTTGCCCTCTGTACACTTTCCGCTGCAGGTCACATTAAACGCTCGTACCTGACTTCGTTCTCAATCCGTTCTCGCTCTGGGGAACGTGCGATCTATAGAATTCGTAAACGCGTCGTAACTTCAGCCCGACTTAGAGTGCTGGGTGTTGAACCACACCAGGCCTCAGTCGCACAAAGTGGAGAAAACCATGTGGAGGTTAACAAATGACGAGGAGAGTAGATATGAAGGAATGCAGTCAAGGATCGTACAAAGCAGATGTTCCCCGACGCGCACGTCGAGGTTCGAAAGATCAACTAGTTGGATGAAAACACTGAAAGACATGGAAGTGGAGCTTTCGCAGTCACTAACTGTCAGTAAAGAAAGCTCGGAAAGGAGTGCAAACGCAGTTAGTCTGTGAAATCAGTGTATTGACCATATGGTTACATCTTTTCATTCTCTTTAACTTACTTACTTATGTTATAGACATTTCGAACTTTTTTTCATGACACCATTGTATGATGAACAGAAGACGGGGCGGACCTCATAGTCACGGAGACCTGCTATTCAGT